CGAAAAATTCAAACAAAAGTTGAAGACTGGTGGTCCCTGTATATCACCTTGCCCAGTACCCGAGTTGACATCAAACCAACCTGTGACCTCTCCATTGACCCTAACAGCACTAACTGTGTGAGTGAAGAACGCCTTCATAATTCTAATGTACTTGTCAGGTAAGCCGTAGTGCTGCATACTTCTCCAAATCAACTGCCTGTCAATTGAATCAAAAGCTGCTTTGAAATCAACAAAATTAATATACAGAGGGATATTATACTCAATGCATTGGTGTATAATACAGCGGAGTGAATAAACCTGGTCAATACATGAGCGATTCTGTCTAAAACCACTTTGATTCTCCCGGAGGAATTTTTCCATGCCATTGCTAAGTCTCCGCAGGAGTATCATCTGCAGGAGCTTCGAGGCTGTGGATCTTAATGTAATGCCTCTGTTGTTAGCGCAATGAGAGGTGTCACCTTTCTTTCCAACGATGATAATAACACCTTTGGACCAATCCTCAGGAATCTTCTCATCTTCCCACACTTTCTTGAACAACACAACTAGTTGATCGACCAACCCATCCTGTCCATACTTAAGTTGCTCGTTGGTGATACCGTCCACTCCTGGACTTTTGTGATTCTTGAGTTTTTTGAGGGCATCAACAATCTCGTATCTTGTAGGAGCTTCATCCGAATCGGAAAGGTCGTCAAAACTGGGTTGCGGAGGGATGTTGTCTAGGTCAGAAATATTGGCCTCTTGCGGGGGAGGGTTCAATAGCCTAGAGAAGTGCTCTTTCCACCTTTCTTTCTGGGCATGTGGGTCGGCAATCAACTAGCCAGATACGTCTCTAACTGCAGTTGACTGCTTCTTCTTCTTTCCAGATATGACATTGATCTTCTGCCATACCTCACGTTGCTGACCTTTTCTAGCAGCTTCTTCCAAGTCATTGGCCATTCTACGTGCCCAGTTGTTATCGTCCACCTTGCTACTTTTTTTAAAGAGCTTATTCAATCTAGAATACTCTGACCTGTTAGCGTCGGAATTAGGGTCTTTACGCTTAAATTCCTTACGGTTCTTCAATAATTCTTTTGTCTTCTGAGATTGGTGCCTGTCCTTCTTTTTTCGAGGTCTTTGCCCAAGGATTTCCATGGAAACTTGTTGGACAGTTGTCTTGAAGTTGTCCCACATTGATTCCAAGTCAACCTCAGGTTCCAAACAGTCAAATTTGTTTCTCAGAACAATATTGTATTCGGAAACAAGTGAATGATCACGCAGATGCTCAATAGCAGGAATCTCAAGCTTACGATCCTGCTTCTTTTTCACTGACATAAGCTTCATTCTCAGCCGTGCTCTTACCAAATAGTGATCAGACCCAATGTCAGCCCCCCTACAAACTTTTACATTTAGCAAGGAGCCTCCAAACTTCTTACTGATACAGATGTGGTCTATTTGGTTTACAGTACGACCATCAGGTGATCTCCACGTACCTTTATGTATATCCTTTTGCTGAAACATAGTACCACCGATGGTAAGTTGGTGGGCAATGCAAAAGTCCAACAATCGGGTACCATTGTCATTTGATGAGCTGTGAAGCGAGTGTCCACCAATGACACCTGACATAGAACTGCAGTCCGATGTGACCTTAGCATTAAGATCACCGAGCAGTAATTTTAAATCATGTCGGGGTAGCTCATCGAATGCACTTGACAACTGCTGGTAGAATTCATCCTTATCATTATCTGAAGCCCCCTCAGTTGGCGCATATGCCACAACAACAGAGATGTTCAGGTGTTGACTATGCAGCCTTGCACTCAACAAACGGTCAGATATTGGTAGATAGGAAATTAATGAATTTTTAGTCCTCTTTGAAAGAGTAAGACCGACACCTCTCCTTCTTATACCGTCCGTCCTCCCTGAATAAATAAGTAAGGAGCCATTATCCAGTAGCTCTGATCCTGTACCAGGCATATGGGTCTCAGTTATACCCAGCAAGTCCAACTTATACTCAGAGATATTCTCTGATAGCTGGAACAACTGACTTGAACTACTTGTCAGAGATAATACATTCCATGTCACAAATGTAAGACCTGTTTTAGAATAATTCGCTGGCTGTTTCTTATTAGAGTCGGAGTCCACATGGGTGATCTGTGGAGAAATAAATCTGCTACAATGACGTGTTCTCCCAACACTCATCTGGCCACGGGGGTCCCTTAGGCTTTGCCCCGCCAACTTTATACTGGTATCATCCGTCCTTGCAGAGGGAGCCACACACCGTTTCTTGTTGTTACTTTGTGATGTATCTGCAGCAAATTTTTAGAGAGGAAAAGTTGCCAGCATCTCGCACCCGGTTTTTTATCGACCTTTGCCTGTCTAGATCCATAGTGTTTTGTTGCACGTCATCTGTTTAAACTGGAGTCACCCAGGACAGATTACAATGCTTAATAGTAGCACCTCGAAAAGGATGTGATTCTTCATCACGCACTATGGTCATTGGAATAGGAGAGGTTATCAGTGACACGATCACTATTCCCTGAGATTAAAAATAATCTCTTGCCACCAATCGACATAGTGATGGTGATAAAGTAACATTATATACTAATTGAGGTATGATTCTTCAAAATAGGGGCAAGAAATGTAAATTTCGTCACATCAGCCATTGCATTAGTTAGATAGATTTTCTTTATATCAACTGCCCATATTATAGTTGGAATGGATTTATACAGGAAATATAGAAACCCATGCCCATTTTTCATCACATTGAAATTATACTGTTGGGGCAGGAAAAGTAAATTTCGTCACATTTCGGTAAATTAGTGATATCAAACTCAGCATTGTTAAACTTGAGTTCTGATTTGCTGAAAAATAACCTACCAATAATTCCTGGAAAATATTGAATTCTAATCGGGGTATGGTTCTTCAAAATAGGGTCAAGAAATGTAAATTTCGTCACATACGTCATTGTAAAATTTAGATACATTTTCTTTCACATCAACAGTCCTAATTATAGTTTGAAATGATTAATTCAGAGATAAGGAAATATAGAAACCCATGCCCATTTTTCATCACATTGAAATAATACTGTTGGGGCAGGAAAAGTGAATTTCGTCACATTTCGGTAACTTAGTATAATTAAACTCAGAATTGTCAAACTTGAGTTCTGATGATCTGCTGAATAATAACCTACTAATAATTCCTGGAAGAATATTGAATTCTAATCGGGGTATGGATCTTCAAAATAGGGTCAAGAAATGTAAATTTCGTCACATACGTCATTGTAAAATTTAGATACATTTTCTTTCACATCAACAGTCCTAATTATAGTTTGAAATGATTAATTCAGAGATAAGGAAATATAGAAACCCATGCCCATTTTTCATCACATTGAAATTATACTGTTGGGGCAGGAAAAGTGAATTTCGTCACATTTCGGTAACTTAGTAAAATTAAACTCAGAATTGTTAAACTTGAGTTCTGATTTGCTGAATAATAACCTACTAATAATTCCTGGAAGAATATTGAATTCTAATCGAGGCATGTTTCTTCAAAATAGGGTCAAGAAATGTAAATTTCGTCACATCAGCCATTGCATTAGTTAGATAGATTTTTTTTCATATCAACTGCCCTTATTATTATTGTGACAATTTTTACATCAACTGCCCTTAACTTGAATTAGCTCTATCCGTGCATCGTCCTTATATACAGTTTTCCCGCCTTCCAAACCAAAATCAGATACAAATGATTTCGGCAATTCACCCAAAATTTTAAATTCCATATAATGTGACAGAATTTACATCATTTCCCAGTGCATGTATTTGCTAACTTTTCAAAACAACCTATTTTAGGGCTATGATTGGTAGAAGAACCATCAAATAATGAGTTGAAAGGGTTTTGAGGACACCTCACAGTAGAAAAGAGGTATCGTATTCTGAGTGTGACAAAGTTTACAAAATATTGCCTTAAAACCGTTCGATCCCTGCCCTTTAGCCAAATGTTGTATCATAATTGTTAGAATGACCTAATCTACTATATATATAATATTTTAAACCAAAAAATGCTAATTGGGCAGCTATGGTTAACACAGTCACAAAAATGTGACATTTTTTACATTATAGTGCCTAAAAACAATAAATTGTATTTCTGAGCCGTGTATATGGAAGTATGAGTCACGTGGCTAATGTCCAGAACTTCTGAACACGTTATTTTTTTTGGTTTACCAATATCCTTAAACTTCAACATGAACGTGTCCATTTACGATTTCGTATCATTTTGTGACGATGTTTACATCAATTGCCCTATACTTCAATCAACTGTATCCGTGTATCGTCCTCATATAGAGTTTTCCCGCCTTCCAAACCAAAATCAGATATAAATGATTTCGGAAATTCACCCAGAATTTCAAATTCCATATAATGTGACAGAATTTACATCATTTCCCAATAGCCAACTAGCCAAGTGCATGTATTTTTTAACTTTTCAAAACAGCATATTTTAGGGCTATGATTGGCAGAAGAACTATCAAATAATGAGTTGAAAGGGTTTTGAGGACACCTCACAGTAGAAAAGAGGTCTCGTATTCTGAGTGTGACAAAGTTTACGAAAAGTTGCCTTAAAGCCGTTCGATCAGTGCCCTTTAGGCCTACATTGTATCATAATTGTTAGATTGACCTAATCTACTATATTTTAGACCAAAAAATGCTAATTGGGCAGCTATGGTAAACAATGTCACAAAAATGTGACATTTTTTACATAATAGTGCCTAAAAGCAATACATTTTATTTTTGAGCAGTGCATATGGGAGTATGGGTCACGTGGCTAATGTTCAGAACTTATGAACACGCTAGATTAATATATGTTAAAATTAAACCACTATCGTCAAAAACGTTGTTTTAGAAATTTACCAATTTCCTCAAACTTCAATGAACGTGTCCATATAGTAAGATATTGTCATTAAAATTATTCACAATCCTCACCAACTAGATTTAGGTCCAGACAAAGTTTGCTTGCTGGATGGAGGTTATATGATAAGTTTAGACGAAGATTACACTTACAAGTATGAAATCAACAAAATCATCCAAGAGGACACTATTGGAGCAATCGCCGTCTTTGGCTATAAAGGAGACTTGGAGAAGGTTGGAACCATCAGACTTAATTATTTTGAGTCTTTTTATATGCGCAGCCAAATATCAAAATATGTTACCCCAGTTTCTTACTTTGCTAAGCAATATGTCACTTATAAATGTTGCTTATTTTAGGTGAAAGCAGCGCTGAATAAAACGGGAGAGCGCAGTGCTGACGATTACATTTGGATAGCTAGCGACGGTTGGGCTCAGTTCGACACTGACCCGGGATTGAGTTAGTAATTTTGGCTTCTTCTTTTGTTAAATTGGGTCCAGATACTTATAGTGAAAGAAATGTATGCAGCACACCTAATTGATGATATAATTCACAGTAATATAGTAGGATTCAATACTTTAAATATAACTATCGGTTAATGCCCAATGTTTTCAGAGAAAGTCATCGGAACAACCTTTAACGCAAGCATTCTGGCAAATTTCAGCGAATTTTACGATAAAACGATGGATAAACTGATCAGTAACAGCTCTTCTTACCATGAAAACGACCAAACAGTAAAGATATTCAAAAGATTCCAGGATAATGCTGAAATGAAAAAATTGCTCACAATGGATCCCTCTACTGAAGACAAGGTTTGCTTAAAGTATTGTTTAAACCGTTTAGCAATATGTGATTGACTGGATTAAAGATTAAATCGCTTCTTCACCACCAAAAGCCCACTTTTCAATGAATTGAGTTAACTAATTGTAGGTTTTAACAACTAATATCTTATAGATAAGCTACATTACTATTATATTATTGAGTTAACTAATTGTAGGTTTTAACAACTAATATCTTATAGATAAGCTACATTACTATTATATTATTGAGTTAACTAATTGTAGGTTTTAACAACTAATATCTTATAGATAAGCTACATTACTATTATATTATTGAGTTAACTAATTGTAGGTTTTAACAACTAATATCTTATAGATAAGCTACATTACTATTATATTATTGAGTTAACTAATTGTAGGTTTTAACAACTAATATCTTATAGATAAGCTACATTACTTACTGAGTTAACTAATTGTAGGTTTTAACAACCAATATCTTATAGATAAGCTACATTACTATTATATTATTGAGTTAACTAATTGTAGGTTTTAACAACTAATATCTTATAGATAAGCTACATTACTATTATATTATTGAGTTAACTAATTGTAGGTTTTAACAACTAATATCTTATAGATAAGCTACATTACTATTATATTATTGAGTTAACTAATTGTAGGTTTTAACAACTAATATCTTATAGATAAGCTACATTACTATTATATTATTGAGTTAACTAATTGTAGGTTTTAACAACCAATATCTTATAGATAAGCTACATTACTATTATATTATTGAGTTAACTAATTGTAGGTTTTAACAACTAATATCTTATAGATAAGCTACATTACTATTATATTATTGAGTTAACTAATTGTAGGTTTTAACAACTAATATCTTATAGATAAGCTACATTACTATTATATTATTGAGTTAACTAATTGTAGGTTTTAACAACTAATATCTTATAGATAAGCTACATTACTATTATATTATTGAGTTAACTAATTGTAGGTTTTAACAACCAATATCTTATAGATAAGCTACATTACTATTATATTATTGAGTTAACTAATTGTAGGTTTTAACAACTAATATCTTATCTTAATTGTAGGTTTTAACAACCAATATCTTATAGATAAGCTACATTACTATTATATTATTGAGTTAACTAATTGTAGGTTTTAACAACTAATATCTTATAGATAAGCTACATTACTATTATATTATTGAGTTAACTAATTGTAGGTTTTAACAACTAATATCTTATAGATAAGCTACAATTGAGTTACTTAATTGTAGGTTTTAACAACTAATATCTTATAGATAAGCTACAATTGAGTTACTTAATTGTAGGTTTTAACAACTAATATCTTATAGATAAGCTACATTACGTAACTAATTGTAGGTTTTAACAACTAATATCTTATAGATAAGCTACATTACTTACTGAGTTAACTAATTGTAGGTTTTAACAACTTATATCTTATAGATAAGCTACATTACTATTATATTATTGAGTTAACTAATTGTAGGTTTTAACAACTAATATCTTATCTTAATTGTAGGTTTTAACAACCAATATCTTATAGATAAGCTACATTACTATTATATTATTGAGTTAACTAATTGTAGGTTTTAACAACTAATATCTTATAGATAAGCTACATTACTATTATATTATTGAGTTAACTAATTGTAGGTTTTAACAACTAATATCTTATCTTAATTGTAGGTTTTAACAACTAATATCTTATAGATAAGCTACATTACTTACTGAGTTAACTAATTGTAGGTTTTAACAACTAATATTTTATAGATAAGCTACATCACTCCGGTTGTTGAAGCAGTTTTCGCCTTTGCAGAAGCCCTGAACAACGAATCCTCACTATCCCTGAGCACAAAACTCCAGGATCTACAGTAAGTGATGAATAATTTGTATGCCATGCAGCTTACTTTTTACGAATAACTCAATCTTTACTGAAACTGAAAACCATGTTACACTATATCAACTACATTTGTTTCCAAAATGAGGCGACCCACGTAGGAGGTTTATTAAACAAAACCACTCACTTATCAGCTACAACGTATCGAAGGTGTTCGAAATCAAAGGCAACAGCCACAGCATGATAGAAAGACTAACTTACGGTGACCAAAGTTACGGTGCTTACTCCTACTCTGCGTACAGGTAAGAGAAACAAACTCTTCCACTTACTGGAGAGACGTTGTTTATTACAAACATATTAACATTTTCTTGCTTATCAGAATATTCGTCACTGTTCATATGTTTATTCACGATTAGCCTTTTGAAAAGCGAAGTGTTATAACTAAATGATATCGGTTCCATAAAATGCAGAGTAAATAACCACTTGACCTGTCTGCAAATGTTCTATATATTTTAGAATAAGCCCTAATCAGAAACAGCGCTCATGGAGTCATAAAAGCAACTCCTATGATGTCAATCAAAGGGTTGTGAAGAGGTAAGGGGCTGCAAGATATTGTTGATCGGAGCGATCACAGTACAAACACGCTGAGAAAGCAAGCTTCGCCTGGATATAAACACTTTATGAGAGCACTCATATTTCCCCACAAAGCATGGGTAACCGCTATAATAGTGGCATTTTAGCAGCAGTGCAGCACCAGCTTGTTTTAGTGCGAGCATGACAGCGGAGTGTCTCTGTAACATCACGTAGACTGGGAAACTAGATTACTGTACATTCTTTTAACTGATCATTTTTAAAAGCCGTGATTGTATGATGATTTTTACTTTTTTTGCCGTCAGATTATTTATGTGAAAATACCTTCATGTTTGATATTGCTTTTTTTAATAATTTGAATTCGTAATGGTAGAATAACCTGTATACCAAGACGAGTTCGTTAGTGTTATCCTTGGTCATTTCATGTTTAAAGTTTAATCAATTCCTGTATAATACCATTCATTACAAACATACAGCTGGAGTACTTCGTTTTCAGCGCGGAAGCACCAGAGCCCTGGGTTATCGGGTCATGGCAAACTGGAGATTCAGCAGCGACTAATATTAATCAGGTAAGGACCTTTCTAATCAATGTGAATAGAAGGGTCTGAAAAGCATTTTCCTTTCATCGTGAACCATTAAAATGTAATGGAAGTCGGATCAAGTGCTAATCATGATTACCTTATCGGACCTTATTTGGACGGACATTACTTGAACGCTGGAGGCCCTAGCGTTCATCTTAATGTCCGTTCAAATAAAGTCCGTTCAATTAATGTCCGTCCAAGTTAAAGTCCGTTGAAATTTTTCAAAACTTTTTCCATTTCGAACTTTTTGTCCAGAATATGACAACTTTGAGAACTTTATTGTGCCGTAAGTTAACGACGGAAAGGTTCTACTTGGTCTGCCGGAGGCACAGAAAACTCTACTAGTATATTTTCAAGGGTCACTTGGCGGAAAAAAGTCAACGAAATTATGGCACTCAACAACATAGTTCATGAACTAGTCCCAGCCAACATGACAAACTTGTTCCAGCCTCTAGATATTACGGTAAATCGTGTTTCCAAGGACATTGTCCGACGTTGTTATAGTTCATATTACTCGGGGGCGGTAATGAAACAGTGTTAGGAAAGCTCCACGTGATGTTAAGGTTTACCTTAAGTTGTTTAAGATAAAACCACTTCACGCCGAATGGCTTGTAAAAGTTAACACTGAAATGCAGGACCGGGGTAGTTTGATAAAAAAAAGTTTCCATAAAGCTAAAAATCACTGATGCTTTAAGCATGGACTATTTCATGCACGAAAACCCATTTGATGAAGATGATATGTGATATTAGAAATTGATCATGTACACATATTTTAACATTTTTACTGCTTAATGACTGCTTTTCTTACTTACTGTATAAAAAATGGATTTAAAAATCACTTGCTGAAATTTAAAAAACGTCAAAAAAATTGAAAAAAATTCGGATTTTTGATGGTTTTGAATGCCTTCGAGCGTTCATATTAATGTCCGTTCATAATTATGTCCGTTCATGTAATGTCCGTCCAAATAAGGTCCGATAAGGTAATATCTTGCATCTTTCTCATTATAAACGCATTCGGAACGTTTAGATAACTCAAATTCAATTCAATAAATAAACTTGAAGACAATATTTTTGTTTCAGACACAGTTGAAGGAGCTTCTCCGTTCTTGGGACATGACTGAAACATCGTCCGAGTGCGAGAAATGCAAACCAGGCTGGGTATGACTTGTTTTACCACTTCTTTGCTTCAAAGATCAGCGATCATCAAACATGATCCCCTTGTTGTTATTTTTCACACTCACAGTATTAAAACGAAAGCCTTCCAACCAATACTCCAATGGATAACCATTTGACAGGTCGTAGACACCGTCCGAGATCAGTGTTGTTACGATTGTGTCAAGTGTGAGTTTGAGCTGTTCCAGTATACCAAACCAAACGATTTTGAGAATTGTCACAACTGCTCGACATCACAACGTGCTATCAACGGGTACATGAGTGAAGTTTCTTACCATACAGTCTTTTCATTCTCGCATGTTTATAATTTAATTCATATTTGTTTATAACTTAATTCATATTTAGAACCTTTTTTTAACAAGAGTGCAGTGACTTACCAACTAAGGCTTAACGGTGATAAGTTTTTTCTTATCTTTCACATCTATCACCAGTACGGGTTGCGAGGATATTGCTATCAGCCGTATATCCTTCTCTGATCCACTGGAATCAACAGTCCTCGTGTTTTCTTTTCTTGGAATCATATGTAAGTTTTTGTTGTTTTGTTGTTGTTTTGTTGCTGCTAGTAGCATTTATTGATAAAATACATAAAACGAATAAAGTAAAACTGTTGCATTTTCAAATGATGATTTCTCATCTTAATCCTCCTCAAGGTGTGTCCATGACGTATTGGTATATGTTTGTGTACAATTACTCTCCAATAGCCCGAGCCTCTGGAAGATCTTATATGTTACTGGTAGCTATCTGCACCTGTCTTATCTTCACCAGCCCACTAGTTCTTTTTGCCGGTATGTTCACCCTTCAGGTACCAAACACATGTGACTTTCAGAAATAAGTTTCAGTCACCACCAACATAACGATTACAAATCAAAAATGTTTGTCTCTTCAACATTCAAACTACCTGTTTAGTAATACATATAAACATTTACTCTTAAACAGAAGGTTGATAGTTCAAATAAAATTATGGTTCATGACCTCAATTTTGATTAAGATGATCGATAACGGTGATTGAACATCCCCAGAACCGAGTAAGTTTATCTGTATGGTGCAGCGAGTAGTCGTGGCTGGTCCTACGGTAGGCATCATTGCAGCTTGCCTTGTAAGAACCTTTTCCATTGACAGGATATTCAGGTAAGCTAAATTAAAATAATTATAGTATAGTTAGCTTAATAATTTCGCCGTCTCGTTTCCCGTGTGTTCCAGACTAATCATTAATCCTTTTAATGTTCAGTGGATTTTATGCTGATAAAGTTATATGGTTACAAAGTAAACACGAATGTTTGACAAATCAATTTCAGGCACCCAGGAGTGCGCCAGAGATTACTGAGTAAGAGACTCGTGCTTCTGACAATTGCTTTCCTTATCGTTATTGAGCTGTTTATAGAGTCCATTATAATCGTGTCCATGCCTTCCAAACCAAGGAACGATACGAAGGACTACGAGGTGAGAAACGGAATTATTAGGATTTGCATATATTATGTTAAAGTGCATCGGGGTTAAAGTGACAACTCTTAACATTAACAAAATTACTATTTCCCTTGCCCAAAATCAATGTTCATATTTTGTTATTTCTAGACTGTGAGGGTGATTACATTTTCAGTCAATAACACTGGAATGCAAGATGCCAGAGGAGGACATCATGCTGACGTTCATTTTTCCTGGGATGTTAACAATATTATGTGGAATATTTGCTCTCAGAATAAGAAAGGTAAGTGTTGGAATGGTGTGCTGAAACCACAATACACAGCATCACCGGCTTACTTATCTTATTTTCAACCGCACAAGCTAGAAAAATAATGTCCACACAATAGGTTGTTAGTCCTTACGTTGATAAACAAGTCTAGGGAGCAACTGTGCTGTAGTAGCACCTGCTTAACTAGTGTATATTTAGAGTATCAAATACAGTTATCCCTTACTTATCGTGTAAGCTAGCATTAACTGGATCAATGATCTTTAGTTTCTTAAACTATTTAGCTCGTATTGTTTTCTCTCGGGAATCTAGAAATGGACGACGTAAGAGTGATTAATTGAGTTTGGCTTGTGATTAAACAATAAATTGGGAAATCGTTCATTAAATATTATAATTGATTGATTGAAAACCTCAAGTTGATCATCAGACAACGACTTGTGAAGTCAAGATTGAAGCGTAGCTCAGAAAATATATTTATGGGATTCTTAATTGATTAAGTGATGTGTGTTGAGGTTTACATTTTTAAAGAACTTACTGACGACATAATTAGGATCAGGATGTAAATGCATGATAAACTCTGTAAACTGTGAATTAACTGTCTAATATCCAGGTTCCATCAAACTACAATGAGTCGCGATACATAATCTTCACGATAACCATCCTTACCTTCGAGAGTGTCATATTTTTCATGAGCTTCAAAGAGCTGGACTACATTTCGTACATCAGATACTCAGTCGTTTGCATCATTGTGGGAGATTACATGACCTACTTTGCTTTGTTCCTCCCAAGACTTTACATCATTATATTCAAGCCGGAAAGGAACACTCTTCAGCTCCAGTGCTCTGCTAACGGACAGTTTTTGTTGGCCAAGACAGTGGACAGGGGATGTAACACCAGCTTGTCGGTTGGGGAGGATGTTATGATGAGACTCAGTTCCGGAACCGAGGATGAAATGATGACAAAAATAAATGATCCCGATCAAAGGGTTTCAGCTCTTTGATTTTTCAATAATATATATATTATATACTATATCCACCAGCGTGCGCTTTTTCGCATAGCGGGCTCTCACCAGCCCGCTGTCAAAGGGCCCGATATCTCTACAGCCCGCTCATGATATAGCCCGCTAACAAGTGACATTTAATTTGTCCAGTAGAAATATAGCCCGGAGTTCTCTAAAATATTTTCAGTTTCTGTATCGTCTCCATGCGAAATTCCATAAGACAACAACTTACAAGTTACTTAGAACTATAGTTGAAACCGGTTTAATTCATTTATAACGATGAATTCAATTGCAATAATCGTATAGTGAGCTAATTAGTGTAGTTTCTGTTTCTAAATTACCGTGCAGTGTCTGGGGAGGAAGGCCCAGGAATGCAGTGCCAGTATGTATCTCTTATCTAGCCAGCCCCTATATACGACACAGCCCTTTATGATTGGCTTACATTGAACACGTGACGTGTTACCATGGTTACAACAATTAGTGGCGACCTTTTCTAGAGTTAACTTTTATACAAGCTGATCCATTGTTTATTTATAAAATTATATATTAACTGTAAAGCTCACGCTGGTGGATATAATCCACATCACCTCGACCCGCGGGCGGAAAAATCGTATAGCACTCGGGCCCGATGGGCCCTCCGTGCTATACGAAAATATGTCCTCCTCGGGCTAGCGCCCTCGGGGACATATGAAATATTGCACGCGCGTGCGCGTGCAATATTTTGTTCCGCCCGCGAGTCTCCGGTGATATGTATATATATACAATACACATTGCGTGCCTCGAATTTTTTGATTTGTTTGAAATTGTATGAAACATTTATTTTTATTTATTGCTTAAATCTTGCTACTGTATTTATTTTGTTTGTAATTATCCATTTTCAGCTCATACTTGTTAACTTACGTATTTTTAATTTGTTTCCTATAACTATAAAGACATGTTCATTTGAGAATATTGGTATTTGGTACACACAAAAAAAATAACGTTTACGACATTAGTGGCTTAATTTTTGCATCTATAATTAACCTAACATGTTCAGAAGTACTGAACATTAGCCCCGTGACCCATTATACTCCAATGCTCAGAAAGAAAATTTCTTGTTGGTGGTAGGCAACCAATCAATAATAGTATTATTGATTGGTTAAAGCTTTAAAGGAAGGTATTTTTGGGTGAATAGCCGAAATCATTTATATCTTATTTTGGTCTGAAATACCAGAAAAAGTTATATAAGAACGATACAGTTGTTTCAAATTAAGGGCAGTTGATGTCAACATTGTCACAAAAATGATACGAAATCGTAAGTAGGTTAAATTTCGAAACATTGATGATAAAATGAGATCATGATTAACATATATTGCAAACATTATAAATATTATAATGGCTCGGCTCACATTAAAAAGTAAGGACTGTTGAGTGTTGATTTGAAAATTCCTTTAATCATGGCAAGTGGTTGATTTAAGAGAGAGAGTAGATCAGTTTCTTTATGATCTAAGGGTACCATTTAACAAAAAGTTGTTTAATATGTAGATAATAGTCATACATTAATAGTCATACTATCCTATCAACATTTGAAAATTTTTTGACAAATTTTACCTAGAGGACGAAACGATTATTTCAATCTTTGGAGCTTTATAAAGGTTCATAAAAACAAAAATGTCAACTATGCACCAGGGAACAACGAAAAAGCATCATGTAATCTTTTTTAAAGAAACTCGTATAAACAGTCCACACCATTAAAAGAAACTCAAATAAACAGTCCACACCATTATAATAAGAAACATATATAAACAGTCCACACCATTAAAATAAACTCATATCTATATATAAATATAATAACTATTTTAATATAAATAATAACTTTTTTAATAACTATCTTTTATTATAATCGTTTGAACAGCTCCAGAACTGAATTGTATCTTTCAATACTATGAGAAGCTCTCTCTCAGCGAGAGTCCAAACACCAGGTGTCAAGTTAACAAAGTACTCTAAAATCACCTTGCCGTCCTCGTAACGACAATCTGTTTTGTCTGTATCCAGAGTACACGCTGTGACGGGAGTGTTTTGTAGTAAGCGGTACAATGATGGTTCATAGATGGTCACTTAAACTTTAAAGTCACGTTAGTGCCTTCGCTTGCGCTTGGCACTTTATTAAGTTTATGGTGCATTTTAGATAATAAGTAATGAGAATATATGCGTCATATATATCTTGTGTTCTTGGCTAGTATATATGGAACATTTGACACGGAGTTGTGGAGTGAGCTATGTGCCTCGCCGGGCTAAAGTAGTGGATGTCCTTGCTGTACGGCAAGTTAAACAAGGAACTGAAACTACTAGGTTCCGTACAGACTCAACTCTACACCCATGTCAATATGTTCATATGCAAGCCTCTTGATTTATAATCACCGGGTCTAGTAATTGTTTAAGAGACTTCTCTGGCAGTTACGAAGCTCGAGAGACTGTGGGAAAACTGAAGGAATAGGAAGCAGTTCTGCCTGACTGCATCAGTAATGATGTAATGACCGGTAATGAGCGCTTCCCAAACACACAAGGATATATCTTGTGTTCTTGGCTAGTATATATGGAACATTTGACACGGAGTTGTGGAGTGAGCTATGTGCCTCGCCGGGCTAAAGTAGTGGATGTCCTTGCTGTACGGTAAGTTAAACAAGGAACTGAAACTACTAGGTTCCGTACAGGCTCAACTCTACACCCATGTCAATATGTTCATATGCAAGCCTCTTGATTTATAAACACGCGAATGTACCAGTTTTATTATCATCGTCAACAGTCACCGCGATAATTTTATAAACTCGTAAAACTACAGAAAACACTTACTTCCGTCACCCAAACACGTAACTTGATGTCTAAAACCACAAGCACCATCGTTCGGTGAGTTCAGTTTTTCTTTCATACTTGCAATCGAATATTCACCAGTTGCTTCGGCAGTGCAAGGCGCTGGCTGAAATATATACCTACTGTTAAAGTTGTGACAGGTATATATCTACATTCTACAACGAGTACAATTGTTTCTTTGACGAAAAAGCGGCTTATATTTTAAAAAGCGGCTTATATATAAGCGAGAAAGCGGCTTATGTATAGAAAAAGCGGCTTATATATAGAAAAAGCGGTTTATTTACAAGCCTCTTTTTCTTACCTGTGAAAACTTTAAAAATAAATGGAATGTAATAAATATTATATAAAGCATATAAACAGATTAACAAATAAACAAAAAAGCACCTGCTCAACAGAGTTTGCAATAACCATCTTTTGCATTCCCGTGCCAGTGGACAATGGGTTTGTTTCTTTGCACCGGGCAAGGGAGTTGTCATACTTTCCAGTCTCCTTGGTGCAAGTTATTGCTGCAGCCGAACCGGGCGCTGGAAAATGAGGAAAAAAGCTTAGGTTTTAGTTATGAATAGGGAAAGTGATATCACAATTCACAATAATAGAACGCAGGCAAGGTTCTAAAGATAACATTAATTTGATGTGTAATTATGCTTATACCGTGAGTTTAGTAATAATACTCACGGGTAACTAATTCAAATCTAGCTTGGTCTGAGTTAACAGGGCAGGTTATAGTCTGCTTCAGAGAACCATCACCAAGATCTTCCTGTGCTATTGTCGCTCCATTTCCATCTGTATGGAAGGATAGGTGAGTTTTTAAGTAAAAATAAAAAAGTTTTGCATATCTGGACTCAAATGCATGTTGATAGGTTTACGTTATTCTGCCCAGAACCTGGAACCCTTCAACCCTTAACTTGACTATCGTAGATCTACTTACAAGTACATGTATTGAAGTTGCATATACTCTTGGCAAGAGGTCGGTCCAGAGAAACCAAAACCAGAGCGTTATTAAATCCAATGCTTGCAGGGCGATTGTTAATATAATTTTTTTTTTAAGTTCTATGATCTAGGATCAGGAGTGATGCTATACCTGGATTTAATGATTTCCATGTATTGAAATATGCACAATTGAAATATGTTGTGACTTTCAATTCTTTCTCTGTTTTCTGAGCTAATCCGTAGTCAGCCTGAAATAATATAGCGAATCTCGATAAGAAAAATGGATAAAAAGTACTGAACTGCACTGTTCTATCAATCACGATTTATGCATTTTCAATAAATATTGATTATTTACAAAAATATTGTAGTTGTATACAAGCCTGTATACAAGAACTGTACGTTGGAATATACACGATGCAGCACTCATACCATGAACATACGAAGCATTTGGTCGATTCGGTCGAGGACCCCGATAATGAAGATCTGTTCAATGCCAAGATTAGGAATGCAGATCAGGTAGCGAAAGCTACAAACAGTGATTTTAATGAAATGTGCCACGAACTGGATGTTAAAGAATACGGTGATCTTGTATTAAAAAACCTGAACAAGCGATCAGTTTCGAAAGAAAAACTGTGTGATTGGCTGAAAACTGTTTGTTTCATTCTGAATCGTTATGCAGCCCCTCATTTGCAAATGGTTGCGGAGAGAGTATATAAACAAAATATTTCATTAATCGCGGAGCAGAAAACTGTCATTGATTTGCAAAAGAAGCTCATTGAAAAGAAGGACGAAGAACTCAAGTCAGTCCAAACAACAGTGCAGACAGAAATGAAATCATATTCTTCTGCCCTGAAGAAGACTTGTGCTGCTGCTCTTACGCCAAAGAAGATATGTACTGCTGTTAAAACAATAGCTCAAAAGGATGAAAGAAGCAGAAACCATAATCTATGGGATAAATGAATCCGACGTTGAGAAGTTAGAAAACAAAGTTGCTGAAGTTCTTGGTGAGATAAACGAGACAACTTCATTTCGTGACTGTTGTAGAGTTGGTCTGAAGAGAGCCGACACATCACGACCTACTAAGCTATCTGATATGGCTGCTTAGGTGCTGAGAGGTGCTGAAATTCTACGCACAAAAGAGGGCTATAAAAGTATCTACATTTTCCCGGACAGATCAGTGGAAGAAAAGGAAAGCTTTCAAGAAGCTCTGGGAGGAATTGAAAGAGAAGAGGAATTCAGAGCCTAACAGAGTTCATTTAATAAGGAACAATAAGATTGTCAGCTTTGATAAAAACAGTGTATCAGCATCGTCTGAAGAAATTTGAACTGTTTCACATTCTTCGCCACACATTTATTTTTTCACAATTTTGTTTCACATTTTTGTAATCATATCAAGGCCATGTAATTGCGGGCACATTGTACAGTACAACACACACTGTGCAGTACCATGTTTGGTCTCCCGTCAGATTTTACAGACTGGGGCAATAATTTATTCGAGTTTATTTTATACGTTATAATTGCTGTATTCTGTAAAGTTTGAAACGTATTCAATAATCTTTTTTATTAATTATCTTCTTACCAGACAGTTGAAAACTTGTCCATTTATCATCGTGTTAACCCTGAGAGTCTCTGTAGTGTATTCCGCAGTGTGTACTGAATCGACTGAAGTAACAGTTGCAGCCTTTACCAACTTAAAGAAAGTAGTGTCGAAATGGTTCTTCCCTTGGGTTGTAAAAGAGAAAGTAGGAGCAGTTTCTCCGGTTGCAGTACAGGTTAGAGTGATGGTTTCTCCAACCAGTGGGTCGGATTTAGAGGAAGTGAAGGATGTGATGGAACTGATCTTCATGGTCATTTCTCCTGAGGTGACTGTACCTCCGTAGAAGTTGTTGGCTGCATCTGTTTGGTAGGCGATGTTACATCTTACTTTCAGATCGTTATCACCTTCCTCCAGGTTATTGAGAGACATAGGAGACAAACTTACTCCATCAACGCTTCTCATCGATGTCTTAACCACGAATCTGGGGGCAAGTTTAAGATTTAGTTTTCGAATAAAATACACGAATTTCCATTCGGGAAGATTTAAACTTAAGTTCAGCGACCACTCGCTTTAGCTTAGATTATGTACAGCAAACAAGCCACAACGCAGGGAGTTTATACCCCTAGTATTCAGCTGCTATCTTACTTAATAAAGTTTAAAATGGTCATATTTTCAAGCATGCACTCACCGTGAATTTGAAGCAGTTGATTTCCAGGATGTGTCTGAAGTGTCAAAAAACTCCCAACTTATTTGAGCATCGGCGTATGTCTTCTGCTTGTTGACCAAATACGGATCGCCGTTCGCGTTTGCTTTGAGCAAAGCATCTGAATAACATTTGAAAACCAGTACATAACCAGCGAGGCCCCACACAGTTTCTGTTGAGCTCGTTATATCCAAAACAGATAAGAACACGTTACCTGATTCCACTCTGTTTTCACCCCAAGCTGCTTTGCAATAATACTCAATACCGTGCTCTACAGCTGTGACACCAGCAATGGTCAATATTCCAGTGGTAGTCACAATGTCACCAGATGTAGCTTCAGTCACAACAACTGTACCAACTGACTCATCACTTATTGTCTTGTGGAAGGTGATTAACGCTGCGCTGTCACCGGAAGTTTTACAAGTGAACTTAGCCTCTCCTCCCTTGGCCACGTTAGTTGTTTCGGGTGGAGAAGAGATTTCTCGTACTGTTAGTGTGGCGGCTGCGGACTTGATGATATTGTTCCCCACTTTATGAAACAGATATACTCTCCTGCTGCGTCCGAGTTTACCTGTAAAGTTAACAATTCAAATATCAGCAAAGGCTTGGTGATAATCCAGCTTTTAAATGCGTCCGAAAGTTAGTCAAAGAAACCTCTGAAACGGCAAATACTTAAACAGCTATCTCAGATATCACTTGAAGGGTTTGACTAACACTTCCGATGGTGAGGGTGGTGGAGATTTTATTTGCAACTGAGCTGTCGGATGCCTTTGTTCCATCGATTACTCTCTCACTTTGGTCATTGTACACATCTCCATTTCCTATCATCGGCTGCGATTATAGGATAAATTTGAGTGAGAAACGAATTAGTGAAGGCACCGGATTTTATTTGTTGCAGTCACTATAATATACTGCTAACATGAAACATGAGTTTGCTCATTAGATGTGATCAGTGCTTCGGTAAAAAATGTACATCAGATTTACGACGAGATTCGATATTTTCATTTTCATTTTTGGTAGGACCAAAACTTACCCTAGCAACAGAATCCCCAGCACTTTTGAAAGACCACGTGATTTCGTTATAATCAGTTCCGAATGGATTAGGGAACACGCATTCAAACACGTGGCTTGCACCACCATAAGCGGTGGCACTAGCAGGGTTTGTTATCGGAGCTGCCGCAATGATTGACACCGCAACCGGTTCCGAGTCAAACGTTTCTTCGGTAGGGCAGAAGTCGTCGTATTGCACCGCACGACACGTGTATGACCCTGCGCTGTCGTCAGCGATGTCAAAAGTTATTTTGAAAACCAAGTCGTCTGATTCTGACACTTTTATTCGTTCGTAATCTTCCTCCTCGATCAGCTTGACCGCTCCCTTGTACCTAAAATTAATAAAATGGATGGAATGTGCTAGCACATCGGAGGACGAACATGTTGAAACCTGAAATTTGGATCAAATTTAAATTATGAAGGACCTGAATAGTTCTGAAACAAGTTCTACACTAACCAGTCTAAGGACCGTGCACCAGAGGCAACGGTACAAGTCAGAGTTATAGAATCCTGTACGATGAGATTTGCATTTAGACCAGCTGATGATTCGATGACAGCCTCTGAAATAACGTTTGTTATTACTGCACGAAGATCATTCAAGGTTAATAAGCACACTTTATGTTTAATTTCTGGAGTCAACATTTCGCGGAGAAGCAAATGGACATTATATAAACATTTCAGTGTTTACTTACTCCTTGCAGTTAGTCTCTGAATGAACTCCACAGTCTTCCCTCCTGTTAACGTGAAGGTACACTTGTACGAACCACTGGACGCTTCACTCACACTAGATACAGCGTAACTACCCGTTTGGGAACCTGCCGTACTGGCATCCCCTCCAGCGCTGAATTCAGCCAATACTCCAGCAACAACTGAGTCGTCTGGTAGAGTAAAGGAAACAGCAGTGGCAGCACTACTACCATGGTAAGCACAGGTAAGGGTCTTGCTGGAGTCGGTTCGGATGTCCACAAACTCACATTCATTGTTGGTAATTTTAGCAGACACGACCTCTATTGTTGATTGCACATTGATACCGTCCCCAAAATTGAAGCTACAGATGTAACTATCCTCGTCAGCAAAATCGAAGCTTTTTATAGTTATGTTGCTGAAAAACTTTATGCTGCTTTCCAGTTGTTTGGTATTCGTGTTTTCTATCTTAGCGGATCCATCAAACACGATATTATCGCCACCTTTAGTCCATGTCACTCCAGAGGGAACCTTGTCACCTTCCATAAGGCATCTGGCAGAAAGGTCATTACCAGTTACAACTATGGTGGATTCAGCAGTGCCCGCTCTGTCGACTGAGGATGATTTTCGCACCACAACCTCCGTGCTTGCACGCAGACTGTCCCCGTCTGTGAACGACAGAACACAGCTGTAAAACCCCGCATTGTCAGGAGGAGTAACGTCAGTAATTGTCAGAGTGTACTGCTGAGCATTGCTCAGCAGGGAACCAGGGTTGATGGTGATGGCATCATTAGCTGCATCATCCAGTTTCTGGCTATTATAGTACCACTCCATGGTGCCACTCGTTGTACCCTCGTAGTTGCACGTGATCTTTATTGACCCGTCAGTGCTGTTTACCGTTGTAGAGGGAGTAGTCAGCACTGAAATTGTTTCTGTTTGTAATATGATTAAATTGTTTTAAAGCAGAAAATTCTGGAACAATATAGAAATTATAAAAATCATGATAAGGATCACAACTCATGAGGAACGCCATGCTAAATACAAAATCACTTACATCGAACAGAGACTACCATTGTTGACTTAGGATTGAAGTTTGCAGGTGGTCCATTTGCAGGTGTAGTCACCACTGTCAGTAACTTCAACATTCTCTACAGTGATAACGCTAGTCTTCGTTCTGGAGGCCTTGTTGAAGTTGCCAGTGGCAATGGTGTACTTAGCATCACTGTTGCTGATTAGGGTTTCAGCATCGTCTGTTGAACTCTGAGATCGTAGCTCTTTATGGTGATGGTTTTAACAAGTCAATGAAACAAAAACAAAAGAAAACGTAGTTTTTTCACAAGATATCTTCCCAAGATATTTTAGATTTTCAGTTTATTTCGGTTTAATATGGCGTATTCATTTACCCTGAACCATTCGATCTTCTGTGGGTCATCCAAACCGTTGTACACGCAGGAGAACTGGACAGTTTTCTCGTGGACGAAATATGGTGTTGCTGGTTCGAACCTTGCAGCTGAAAATCACATCACTTAGCAGTGAATTTATTTTGAATATATATGTATGTATATTTCGAACAATTGAGAACAATCAAATTGGCGGGCAAACGATCCGTTTCATTATATTTATAAAACAATACCAATAATATATAAATATAAGTTTTAGCAACAGGATGGATAGATGTTTGAATATGATCACTGATAACCAACTTACAAAGCTTGATAAGAGTTGTGACGACATTAACGAGGGTTTCGTTTTCCACAAACACAACTGAGCAGGTGTATTTTCCTTGATCCCCAAACGTCATCTTCTTAACAGTGAGCGTGTGGGTGTAAGTAATGCCTTCTGTTATACTGTCTGCAATTTCTGTCTGAAAGTTGGGTCATTTCGTTAAACTAAAAGTTGGAAGATATCAAAAAAGATAATCAAAATCATGCTCATAAATCGTTCATTGAGATCATTAATTCTCGGCTATCTATGGCAGTTACCTCATCAGGTTGGTTGGTGATAGCTTTTTCCCTTTCGTTAGACCACGTGACAGAATATGGGGGTGAATCACCCCACACCACACAACTTATTACTCCGTCTCCAGAGGAACCGGTGCTGAACGTGTTCTCATCCACTGCTACTCCGACAGCGTTAACGTCAGTCGTCGACTCGATTGACTTTCCATTTACGCCACTCCAGGTAGCAATACATTTGAACTGAGCGTTGAAAGTTGGTTTGTTGGTTGTTATTGTCAACTTGCTGATCTTGGTGGTGGTTGAGCTGCTGTCTGACTCATCTGTTAGGGTCACGTGCTCTACCTCATCATCTACTAGTACATCTCCTGTTGAGTGGTGGTATCGTTCTTTAGTGTGTAATTTCAGTTATCACGAGAAAAATAATACTTATATTTCTGCGTTGACAAAACTGACCGGTCATAAATTTTATGTATCGTACGTATCACATTCAAATGAGCGAGTTGCAAGGTGTATATTACATTAAATGTGAGCAACAGGAGATCGTTAGAAACAAACCTATCTTCCAAGACAACGTAAGTAATTCCTTGTCTTCACCCGAAGCAGAGCACAAGAATGCTTTCGGGATGTCAGCGTTGCGGAATATTGTTGAGGCTGGAAGGCTCTCAACAAACTCTGGGATGGGCATTAAGGTTATAAACAACTTCATAAGATTAGGTACATAACAATACAGCTATGAAAATAAATTCATATTTAAAATTGAAATCTTAAAGTGAAATAAGAGTTAGATATCAGTAAAGCTTCAGCAATATCGGATCATAAATTTAAATGAGACAATGAATAAGAAAAGAAAACAAATAGAAAACCTCTCTTGTAGATGTTGGTTGTCACCGTGTCGAAGGTTGGATCAGTGGCGTCTCCGAAAGACACTGTCCCTCGAACTGTGAACGGCGACATAGATGTTTCAAACCCACTCATATTGAACGCCAGATTAAAGGTCTTTTTGGACCCAGACCATACCGATGAAATTGTTGGGGTCAAATGGGGATTATCTTGAGAACTGTACGCCTGTCCTCCAATGAACCAAATTATGTGTGGTTCATAACGTCCTTCCACCGACACCTCTATACTCGTGGGGCTGTAGTACACCGTATCCATTATAGATAGCGCTGTAATTAGAGGTTATAAAAACAAAGATCCATTTAAAAAAATGTAAATATCGAGTTAACAAGGGTATTCTACGGTTTTACGATATCCACAATGATTGAAATGTAGCTACTACATCTCTCATAAGAGGATCGTGTATGACTTAGGCTTAAAATACCCCGTCCAACTACAATAGCCGGCAATTCGGTAAACTATCGGTGGTCACATAACGCACAGTTAACGCACGGTTAACGCACGGTTAACGCACACTTAAGAAAATAATTCGGGGCCTTCAAAGCGGGGTAACAAAAAGGAGTTACAAACGTTACGAGCGGTCCATAATACAAAATATGCATCACCTCTTCAACCTGCTGAACAGGTAATCTACTATTAAAATAAACAAATTTGCCTCATCTCCCCACGGGAATCCACATCTATTAAAGCAGACAAAAATATATTTTATACATATAACTAGCAAGAACTTTAGACCAGATATCTTAGGGAACTTGGAGTAGCAAGAAAGTGACTAGAAGGTATTATATCAAAGTCACTATTGTGACGGTACATTAGAACTAAACAAAAACAAATATATACCTTTAACGAAAATACGTCGAAAAGAAATCAGGGTGATACAGGATCGGAGAGTACAGACCGTAAAGTTTATGCACCCACCCTTCCCTCCTGAATTTTTGGATGGATAGACAATCATGCAAACTTGGTCGTTTATATTCCAAGTCCCTTTGTTAAAAGAAGTAGTATTATTTATGTCTGAAGTTAGCTTCATTCAATAATATCAATGTCAATGTCAATGTCAATGTCAATGTCAATGTCAATGTCAATGTCAATGTCAATGTCAATGTCAATGTCAATGTCAATGTCAATGTCAATGTCAATGTCAATGTCAATGTCAATGTCAATGTCAATGTCAATGTCAATGTCAATGTCAATGTCAATGTCAATGTCAATGTCAATGTCAATGTCAATGTCAATGTCAATGTCAATGTCAATGTCAATGTCAATGTCAATGTAAATGTCAATGTCAATGTCAATGTCAATGTCAATGTCAATGTCAATGTCAATGTCAATGTCAATGTCAATGTCAATGTCAATGTCAATGTCAATGTCAATGTCAATGTCAATGTCAATGTCAATGTCAATGTCAATGTCAATGTCAATGTCAATGTCAATGTCAATGTCAATGTCAATGTCAATGTCAATGTCAATGTCAATGTCAATGTCAATGTCAATGTCAATGTCAATGTCAATGTCAATGTCAATGTCAATGTCAATGTCAATGTCAATGTCAATGTCAATGTCAATGTCAATGTCAATGTCAATGTCAATGTCAATGTCAATGTCAATGTCATCATCATCATCATCATCAACATCAACATCAACATCAACATCAATATCAATATCAATATCAATATCAATATCAATATCAATATCAATATCAATATCAATATCAATATCAATATCAATATCAATATCAATATCAATATCAATATCAATATCAATATCAATATCAATATCAATATCAATATCAATATCAATATCAATATCAATATCAATATCAATATCAATATCAATATCAATATCAATATCAATATCAATATCAATATCGATATCGATATCAATATCAATATCAATATCAATATCAATATCAATATCAATATCAATATCAATATCAATATCAATATCAATATCAATATCAATATCAATATCGATATCGATATCAATATCAATATCAATATCAATATCAATATCAATATCAATATCAATATCAATATCAATATCAATATCAATATCAGACTAAACTATCGAATAAATTATCCATTCTAAAAGCATTATAAGAAAATATTAAAGTAATATTCCATGTGGTTTTTTTCGCGCTAGATACTAGACAGTCTATTTTGATACAAATAATAATAATAATAAGGCCCCCGCTCAGAACACCAGAGCTAGTGAGTAGTGGGTCCGAGGCTGATACTCGTGGTCAGCACCCCCGGGGTCGGTAACGGCAGCAGTCCATTGGATGGCTGCCGGCTAGAGCTACTCACTCCCTGGCATTGCCAGATGTCTTCTTCCTGAGGTTCAGTTATAGCACAAAGTTTAAACTATTAACACTGTTAGTTCCCCCGTTACTAGTCCAAGTAACGGGCTAGAACTTGACCAAACAGCTGGTGAAACACCTGTAGACCACCAGAACCTCAGGCTCTTATGTCCCTTCTCAACATCACTTAATGCTATCATGAGATTTTGTACTTGCTAAATATTCATGTTTAGGAGGGAAAAAGAAAAGAAAATTACAAAAAAAAGTTAAAAAGAAAAAAAGAAAAAAAAAGCACAAAATGGAAAAACCAAGAAAAATATCTGTAACTGAGACAGCAGTATTTTAGGATTTTAAGATAATATATCTCCTGATTTTTATTCGATATCATAGCAGCACAGACTGCTGGTACTGAAAGAATATCATTCCTTTGGAAATACTACTTTCTATAATGTTACCATACCCAGCACACTCGAATAATTATAACATTGTAATCATATTATTATATTTCATTGTATATTATATTTCATTGTTTTGTTTTTACTTGTCCCCATGGTTAATTCCCTTTCTTGCCTCTCGTTGGTGAAAATCTTTTATCCTTCTGCTCTAGCTCTTGGTTTCTTGACTAGGTGCAATTGACACCTAGTGGTTTTCTTTCCGGGCATGGACTGACCCGCAGATGTCCCCCAATCTTAAGTTGTGGACTCGTGACAAAAGGATGTGTGGCCATGGGTTAAATGGTTACTAACGGGTCTACTACCCAGGAGGTAGCTACCTGGGGAGCTGGGCGACGCGGGGCAACGCTCAGTGCTCTGTTTTCCCTGCCAACTCTCTAGGGGGTATTTCAAGTCCCCCAGTTATGATATGAATTCTCTCTCAAATTATTCAAACTCTCCTACTCTCCCTACTAATGGGTCAGAGCAGGATCAGCAACCTAACATCGCCCCTCCAGCTCGCCGTGAGAGGAAGGCTCGCACTGAGACTTCCACTCGTCACACGTGGAGCAAGGAGGACAACATACAGCTCATGACGCTGTATTACCAGAGCAAACCATCCCGCTCTGGTTACAGAAGGAGACTCCGGTCACTGTGGGATGATGCCGGACTCTTCACTTGTACAGAACAAAGATTGGCAGACCAAGCAAGGTCAATCAGAAATAATAATCTCCTCTCAGACATAGAACTACTGGAGATTCGAGGTACTCTTCCACCCAGCGTAGTGGAAGAGGCTCCAACAACGACAACTCAAGCTTTACCCACAGTCTCCCAAGCAATCAGGACGTTGAGGGATGCAACTATCCCAACTGTTGCCGCCGAAGAACTCACCCCCACCGCAACAGTACCTGATTTTGACAAGGAGGCAACCATTGAGCGGCTAAAAACCCTCTTAGAAGACCCTTCACTGATAGAAACCAAGCCCCTGAGACATGTGAACAGAAAGAAGCTTATGGAGGAAACATCTCTCATCAACTCATGTATAGCAGAGATTCCTACTTCTTCAATCACTGAAACCAACACTTTATTGCTTGCAGGAGCACATTTAGTCAGCGAAAGACTTGATGAAAAACCTGCAAATAAGAATACAGAGACGCGGAAAACTCCGCTATGGAAAAGAAGAATCGAAGATAAGATTACCCAGGTGAGGAAAGACATCTCTTATCTTGAGGAGAAGAAGAAAGGTATTACCCTTAAACAAAAAATACTAGAAGGGCTCAACAGACGTCACCCCCTGTTGAAGAAAAAGGGTATATCATGCATCATTGAGGAGCTCAAGCAACGTCTTCGTGCAAAAGCAGCTAAGATAAAGAGATTTAATAAAAGATGCGAACGATACCACCAGAACAAGTTGTTTGGAAACAACCAGAGGCAGTTCTACAGAAACCTTCAAACAAACCCTGAAGAACAGGATATCTCCCACCCTGAGGCTGACAAGGATTCTTGTTTGAAGTTCTGGAAGAACATATGGGAGCAGCCGGTTGAACACAACAGTGATGCTGAATGGTTACCGGATGTCAGAACAGCACTAGCCTCAGCAGATGAACAGCGACAGTTCGTTATAACTAACACCCTGGTTGCAGATAGAGTGAAGAAAATGACCAATTGGTCCTCTCCTGGTACAGACGGACTGCATGCTTATTGGATAAAGCACTTTAAAGAACTCCACAATAGGATTGCAGATCAACTTATGAATTGCTTAACCAACGCTGATATCCCAGACTGGATGACATTGGGACGCACGTACCTGCTCATAAAGGACCACTCCAAAGGACCCATCCCAGGCAATTTCAGACCTATTACATGCTTATCAGCTATGTGGAAACTGTTCACTGGTCTAATCTCAGATTCCATATACAACCATTTAGACCAGCAAAAACTCCTCCCCACTGAGCAGAAAGGGTGCAAGAAGAAGAGCAGAGGATGTAAAGAACAGTTAATGATAGACAAACTCATTCTGAAGAACTGTAAACGAAGGAAGCGGAACCTGAACATGACATTTATAGACTACAAGAAGGCGTATGATAGCGTCCCACACTCCTGGATTCTGTCTTGTTTGACCATGTGTGGTATCTCTTCATCCATCATAGACCTGTTTGAAGCCTCCTTCAAACAATCGTATGTTAACCTGATGCTTGGTAAAGTTTCCCTTGGGAGAATTAAAATTAATAGAGGTCTATTCCAAGGAGACTCAGTATCACCTATTCACTTTATCATTAGTCTTATACCTCTTTCCATTCTTTTGATTAAGCACGACATAGGATATTCTCTGGATAGAAAAGATGGACCAAAAGTGTCACATAGGCTATACATGGACGACCTCAAGCGTTATGCTGAGAGTGAAGATGAAATGCAAACACTGGTTAATACCACAGCAGAGTTCAGCAGTGACATAAAAATGGAATTCGGGCTAGAGAAATGTGCCGTGGTGAAGGTGAAGAAGGGAGCAAGAGCCGTATTCGAAGGCA